GCATGCCATCAGAGGACTCATAGTAGAAACTACTTTGGGAGTTCACTATGGTATCAGAGATTTGAATTATGTACTATGACTTGCGTGTCATTTCCTATGATGCTTTAAGAGCATTCATGATATATACACAGGATGTTTCCTTGCCAATACAAACAGAAACGACTCCTCTGATATCTGCACCCAGTTACATCTCTTAAATGCTTGGCTTTCATCTTTTTCTTCCTTTATCTATTACCTTTCTTTGTAAGACGTTAGTTGCATTTAATTGATGGAGTTCCTTAAAGGTTTTGTTTTCATCTCTGCAGGGTCTATTTTTAAAAGTCATTTTGTCACTCTCTCATTCACTGCCATTGCTTTCCCTTTTCCTTCTGACTGTTAAGTCAGATTCCATTTTTCCTCCAGTTGCTCCACACAACCTTGTATTCAGCATATTGACCTTTCATACGCTGCCATTTGGATCACCAGCTCTAGCCATTACATTAGCAACACACAATTACACCCTCAAGGTATACTCAAGTGCAGATCCTACTTCTCCACAAATACCTTAATGAATGGAAAGATGCTGATGTATGTTTGAAGTATGTTTTCAGCTCACGTATTAGAGAAAGATTCTGCAGAGACTTGAAACCGTGGGTAGTGATGGGAGCATTTTCCAAATGTCTGTGTTCCACCAGAGTGCCCCCCTGCATGGTGCTGTTTTCCAAAGTGCCCATGCATTACATACTTTCTAGAGGTTACTGCCAGAGCTGCACCCAGCTGTCACAAGGGAGCTGTCACATCAAGTGCAATCAGATGGGTTGCTTTTGGTTGGTGTGAGGACGGGATACTTTCAAAAGAAGTGTTCTCAGCGACTTATTTGATCAGTTTTGACATTGGTTATAAATACTGACCTTAATATTTTTGTGCTATTTATTGCTCTTTAGGGAGTGTTTGTGGCTAGTAAAGTATTTATGCCTTTTTTTATTATTTTTTTTTTACTTTATTTTTCAGAACTGAAAACATGTTTTTCTGTGAACAGCTGAGATCAGAACTGGAGCAGCTCTGACTTCTCCCCCAACAACAGCACTGAGTAGTAAATCTGGCACATGACAAATTGCCCCATCGTCAAGTGGGGAATGACTATACACCTGTGCAGGACACGATCTAGCACTTTCTTTATGGTCTTACAGTTATGAAAAATTAAGCAATACATGAAATGGTGGTTTTCACATAGTTCAAGGTCTCATTTGTCCAGATCATCATGATTAAAATTCTCACGGTACCAAGACCATTGAGAATGAACTATCATTCTCCTTTTTAGAATTGTGAGAGAAGGGAATTGGGGAAAAGCCTAAAGACAGTATGAATAAGTATGTGAGAAGAAGGGAATTTAGGTTCATTTTGGACTTGAGGTTTCATTTATGTTTCATTTCTGGTCTTGAGCAAGGCTTTTGACATGGTCCCCCACCACATCCTTATCTCCAAACTGGAGGGATGTGGATTTGATGGGTGGACCACTCGATGGATAAGAAACTGGTTGAAAGGCTGCAGACAGAAGGTGGTCATCAATGGCTCTATGTCCAGGTGGAGGCCGGTAACGAGCGGTGTCACCCAGGGATCTGTCTTGGGACCGGTGCTCTTTAACATCTTTATCAATGACATCGATGACGGAATCGAGTGCACCCTCAGCAAGTTTGCTGACAACACCAAGCTGAGTGGTGCAGTCAACATGGTAAAAGGAAGGGATGCCATTCAGAGGGACCTTGAGAGGCTAGAAAGGTGGGCACAGGTGAACCTGATGAGGTTCAACACGGCAAAGTGCAGAGTTTTGCACTTGGGCCAGAGGAATCCCAGGCATCCATCCAGACTGGAAGGAGAGGTCCTTGAGAGCAGCCCTGCAGAGAAGGACCTGAGGGTCCTGATGGATGAAAAGCTTAACATGAGCCAGCAGTGTGCGCTTGCAGCTCGGAAAGCAAATGGTATCCTGGGCTCCATCAGAAGAGGGGTGGCCAGCAGGGACAGGGAGGTGATTGTTCCCCTCTACTCTGCTCTTGTGAGGCCTCATATGGAGTACAGTGTTCAGATCTGGAGCCCCCAGTACAAGAAAGACAGAGAGCTGTTGGAAAGGGTACAGAGGAAGGCCACAAAGATGATCAGGGGTCTGGAGCACCTCCCCTACGAAGACAGGCTGAGGGAGCTGGGCTTGTTCAGCCTGGAGAAAAGAAGGCTGCAGGGTGACCTCATTGCAGCCTTTCAGTACCAAAAGGGAGCCCACAAACAGGAGGGGAATCAACTCTTTGAAAGGGTAGATAACAGCAGGACAAGGGGAAATGGTTTTAAGTTGAGAGAAGGAAGATTTAGGTTGGATGTCAGGGGTTACTATGAGGTGGTGAGGTGCTGGAAGAGGCTGCCCAGAGAAGTTGTGGATGCCCTGTCCCTGGAGGTGTTCAAGGCCAGATTGGGTGGGGCCCTGGGCAGCCTGGTCTAGTATTAAATGGGGAGGTTGATGGCCCTGCATGTGGCAGGGGGATTGGAGATTCATAATCCTTGAGTCCCCTTCTAACCCTGGCCATTCTGTGATTCTGTGATTTTGCATACATTACAGCAAGACTTATTCAAAGCTTGTCCATCATTGTAAAGAGTCTCTTCTCTGAGATCCTCCTGAGGAAATGAGATTCTGTGGTAGTTAGCCACTGCCTCAGTGGATCATCCATCAGCATATTGTCCTCCTGGTGAAAAGATGCAGCTTCCCAACCAATGTTCCTCCTCCTCTGAGCTAGCACAGCCTTGATAATAAGACCCTCAAAAGTAGAGGAACTTCAAATATGTGGTACTTTTTTTGCTGGGCTAGAAAGAATTAAACACAGCAAAGACTAGCCATGCTCTTAACATGGGCTCCTTCAGGATAGATATGGAACACTGCAAGGCTTTTGGAAGTGAGGGAATGTGGCACTGCTTTGTATATAATGTGCAGAAAGAAATGCTGTTGCACAGACATCTGGAGGCTTAGGTCAATATTAGTCATCCAAAGATTTAAGTCCAATTAATTGACCAACTTTTTTTTTTTAAAAAAATTAATTAGACAAGCCCGTTTGCTTTGCAAACAGCTGGGCAATAAGGCAATCCATAGCTAAGGGTTTCCACACAGTTTTATCCCACTGCTACCGGGGTTTGACCTTCATCTTTCCCTACCCTGCAAGGTTTCAGGGCCACACAATTAGTGGTACTGTTGCTGGTACAGGATCTTCATAGTTTCTCTCTTGCAGATGCCCTACCTCCAATCTGTGGTACGCTGTGATATATGGTAAATTTTAACTCTACAACCAAGCCACAAACCTGGAGGAAAAGATTATTTGCAGAAAGATGCAATGTCATGGTATAACCTGGACTGCTAGTGAAGTCTGAATGCATGGGGACAGTCATTTATGGCAGAGTAGCAAAAAGGAAAAAAAAGAAAAGAAAGAAAAATTGCAAATATTTTGACGTTTTCTAATAGAAATCATTTTACTCCTCATTCCAATGGGATCTTTTAAGGCTAAATTCAGTCACACTTTTCAGAAACAAGTTTCTCTGCAACACACAATTGAAACCCAAAATTAAAATCTCTTGGTCTGGTTTCCCTCTGGGCCAACTCAGCTGGATGCAATTTTTCCTGCATTACCCATACATATTTTCTGTTCTGTTGCAGAACAGAAAATAAAGGTCAGCTTAACCATTAGAACATGCTTCCACATTTAGCTTGCTCAAGAAGCAGGTAGTTGTGGCAGGCAGAGTGTGTACAGTGAGAATATGTTCCCATGAACACACTTATAAATAATAAAAGTGTTTATGTAAAAGTTGAAGAAAGAGCTGTGAGCCCTTAGCACATAATTCTGTTTTTTGTGGGATAAGCAATATTTTGCACACTTTGACAAATTTTTGCCTAATTAATAGAACAAGTAAGTTTCTACTGATAATGTATAAAGGTATAATAAGACAATAATCTAGCCATCCATTCCTAGTCTATCTAGAGATTTATCAGCTGAGCCACTTCAATTCTGTTAGCCTGATCCACCTGGTGGTGATGTTCTTAATTGAATCTGGATCAATATTATTTTCATTCCAAATCCAAAACACAACACCATACCAAGTACCATGAAGAACATTAACTCTATCCCAAAACCACCATACTTGTTTAACCTGCAGTGCTCTGGTGTCACAATTTTCTCTTACATCTCCTAAAACCTGACCTTTGTTTCACTGGCTCAACTTTGAATACTTCAATACCATCTCCAGAAGCAGGTCTGGAAATGTCAGCAGAATTATCCTAATGTTAAGATGCCACTTCACATCAGCAAAAGCTGTAAGTAAGGGAATCTGCCCATTAATGACAGTCAGTTTCCAAGGTTCTGGTCTGACACTTTGTGTTTCTGTGGGGAATCACTGCTCTTTGGAAGACACTTTCCTTGCCTTAAAGTACACTTGCCATGCAGACCTTGGGGATTTTGACTGGATTACTGTCCAAATCTATCCAAACAGATATTCATGAAATATCATACAATTCTGGTGTAAGTAAAAATCCTTCTTCACACTGAATCTCAAGAACTTTGTCTAGTGAAAGTCTACTCATTTCACTTTCACTGGCATCAGCTTTCTGTCATCCTCAGTTCAGAGTCTGGATGTTTCCCTATCATGATTTAAAGATTACAAGCCATAAAATATGAAATAGGATGCAGGGCTGTTAAAAATAATGATGAGATGAAATGAAAAGCCCATTCTTCTCAAGCTACAGCTTTTCACTTTTCTTATTCTGACTCACATTCTAGGGACTTGTTTATTTCTTTCCTTTCCCTCCCCCCCCCCTTTTTTTTTTTTTTTTTCTTTTCCCGTTTAACTACTGGAAGACGAAAAATCCACCTTGTATCCCAAGAGCTGAGACTCTCTGACATATGGATGTCTGGAAGCTCTGGCACTGACTGCTACTGCTCCCTGATGTTTGATCCCAGACCCCCACACAGAGCAACATACAGGACGCTCAGTACCTTGGAGTCCAGAAGGATAAGCCATGCAAATCTCTGATGATGAGTTGACTAGATGATCTTAGAGGTCTGTTCCAACCATAATGGTTCTGTGATTCTATGAAAATCAGGAGATATGAGTCAGACATAATATGTGAATAACACACCATCTGAACACTACCAACTTATTGATGGTCAGATAGTCAGTGCAGCTCTCATGCTACAACACCAGGTACCTCTGTTTTCCAGAATCCATAGTAATATTCTGCTATTCAGTACTTAGCGTTCTGGCTTGTAAAAATCACCATTCACCTTTCTGTCTGTAATTTTAAAAAATGGCATATTTCTCAAAAGAAATTATAGTCTTTTAATTTATGACATAAATCAGTAAAACAATCCTATCTCCTGTTTAACATGTCCCTTTTCACTTTAAAATCTCATAGTTATTGTCAGTGAAAAGGCCTCATCTTGCTGAATGTATGGTAAAACTGAGGTAGAACCTGTGCTTTAAAGACTCTCAACATGGACAGTCTCAAACTAGAGAGTCAGGAAGAGATTCACACACATCTGCTTCAATCTCTGGAAAATATTGCTTGCTTGCCTTTACACATTAGAGATGCAGAGATCTTTTCATAGCTTGAATTTAGAAGTTTACAACACCTGTTCATTTTTCTAGCAGTGCTCATAGGTGGATTTACATGGGTCAGGAAGACACACATAGTCCCTTGTTTGTAGCATTTTGAAAGACTTATATTTGCTCTTCCAGTAACTCTATTTGAGAGATGATGAAACTAAATGATATGTCAAAAAGAAACTCTGAAATGAACTGAAATCACCACAGTACCATATGCCACACTATGCCTAGGCACAGCAAGAGTAAGTTAAATTCACTATTGCAGCTGCCAGAGTGAATTTGTTTGTTTTATTGGTATATGACTCAGCATTAATATTTTTATAAGGCAGTTCTTGATCATTCTGTGTACAGATGAGTAAAATTAGTAACACAGAAAAGTCAGTCAGCCTGGTATGCCTATTCTGGGAGGCAAAGCAAAAGTCAAAGCATCCAGATATTCTCTTTGGAATGGACAGATTTTCTCATTAGCAAGAAAAAGCATTATTCAGGGAGTTGTATATGAAAGCTAAAAGTACTGAGTTCCCATCTTAGGTCAAGCATTGCCTGTAGTGATCTTCAGTTCCTCCCACAGCCTCAATTTGTTGGTCCATGAAATAAAAGTAACTTTTTTTCTACAGCACAAATGTAGTGAGGCTTTATCAAACATTCAGTAAAGTACTTCGTGATTCTGGGATAAGAAGATAAATGAAGAATTAGGTGTTGCTAATTTATACATGTTCCTGCTAATCAGATGTAGAATTGCTCCCAATCCCAAAATAATTAGTCTTACACCAGTGAAGAAGTCTCCTGAAGCTTCAGGAATGAAAAAGGAAAGAAAGAAAGGAGGAAGAAGAAGAAAGGGTGGATTTCTGATTTGATATCAGTTGCACAAATGACCTTAATTTTCACATTCTTGATCACATTCATCTGACCTTGCTCATCAACAATGTGACTCCTTGTGATTAGCACCTTTATTGCTGCCATATTCATTTCTCATCAAGAAGCAAAGCACTTTTATTACTTGTGTTATTGGTCTGATCTCAATTTTCTTATAGCTCTGAACTAAATCCAGTCACCATTTTTCTTTCTTGAAGTGATCCACAGTACTGTGCTCGGTTAACAAGACTGCAAACTGTCATTTCATCTTTTTTAACAGTCACCATACAAAACAAAGTAATTTAGCTTTGCCATAACTACTGGGTTTTGCAGATCTCTCAGAAAAAGCCTCAAATTAAATATCTGTGCCATGACATATGTGTGATACCATTTCAAACACTAGCATTCCTATTTTTGTAGGCTTACCCCTATTCCCTCCTCCTGCCATTTCACATCAGACCCTAATGCTCTCATGTCCATCCTGAGGGGCTGTGTGTGAGCTGAGTATGTCTATTAGACATAGTTAATTCCTTTCAAGGCCTTTTTGTGCATGGCTGTGACTGACAGAGACGGGTGCTGTTTGCAAGTATCAGTGGAGCATGACCTCAAGTCAATACAATGAATGATGAAAGAAAAGATTCATTCAGCATGTGAACTCTGTGCTGAGATTAGCCAGAAGTACCGAGCACGTACAAATTGCTGTTTTGTCAGCAAAGAGCTTGGTGCAGTTTTGAAATATTCCAGCTATTATAAGCTGTCATCCTTGAGGCTGTGGTAACTGAAAAAAAGAGGAGTCAAAATAGCATTTCCAATCCAAATGTCTTTGTCTTCGATGAGAGGTTTGGACCCAGATGCTCAGAGCAATGCAAGACCACCTGGCAGCTGCATCCTCAGTCTGATGTGAAAGGACTTTTAGTACCATGCACAGATGTGTTTCCAAAGATCAGAGAAGGGACCATAGGGTATGGAGCCCTTCAGTGGTAGATACCAGTTTAAATCCAGTCTTGTCAGGAGCAATGGGAAGTCACAAGAATCTCTGCAGTCTGTCTGGCTGCTTGTTCTACTTGCGATCATTTGAGTTTGTCATTTTGAGTGGGCACAAGCTGGCCTTTCAAATGCCATCTTTGCAACCGGTGTTAGCAGAGCAGTAAGAGATAAGAAGGGACAGGGCAGGTGACTTCTTTTCTCACCTATGCAGTTCTGTCCAGAGCAGAGTCATTATCTGTCTTGGGTGCACAGCCTATATTAGCATTCAAGGTATATGCAATCTGTAGTGGGCTGAAACTTAAGAATTTTGAGGGAAATATCAGTGATATTTTCATGATTTCTTCCCAGCTTATTGTTAGTCTTATCTTAGAATTTTTAAGAACAATAGAGCCATTAGCAGAAAGATTGGAAGAAACACAGTTTCTCTCCCTCCTCTGACCAGTTCTAGGAATAACAGTCCCGAGATACAGGACTGTGAAGAGGATATCACATCTCCTTCTATCTGGGTTTCCACTTTGACAACTACATGCATGTAGAAGCAGGTTCTACCATACATTGCTGCTTTGAAATCAAATAATCAGAATCACAAAGCTGTAGGGGTTGTAAGGTACCTCTGGAGATCATACAGCCCAATCTTCTGCTAAAGCAGGTTCCCTACAGTAGGTTGTCCAGGAGGGTCTTGCGTGTCTCCCAAGAAGGAGGCTCCACAGCCTCTCTGGGTGGCCAATAAGTCAGTTTAGAATATAGTAACTTCAGTACTTCCTGTGAATAGAATCCTCTCACCTATTTTCGCTGCCTGCCTCCCTGAGGCATGCTTCTCTTGTCTTTGTATTTGGTAGTATTAGAAAACCTCAACATCGTCTGTTCCTCTTGCAGTCTTGTTTAAATGGATGAGCTGCTTCTCTCTATTTCCAGTCATCTATCAGTTTTTAAAGTCCCTCAGAACATCAAGATTGACAATATTCCTGCCTTTTCTTAAAGGTGATCAAACCCTAAGACAAAGCTTACTATATTGTTCCCTTGCCCTTATTCCATCTTACCATTTACAGCTGCCACAGTAAGGGGACATAGAAAAATCTGCTTGAGAGGCAAAGGACAGTATATGCCTTGTTTTGTAGAGGCAGCAATACCTACCCTGGGGTTGCAGCAGCCTGATAAACCTAACACATAGAGATTTCAGACTTATTTCTATACATATGCTTTGTTGTTGCTACTGCAGCTAGTAGCTGTTAGAAAAAAGATTTTGCTGAAGCCTTTTGCTTATTTAATGTCATTCCCCATGCAGATACAGTTTAGACTATCAAATTATTTGCCATACTTCTGTGCAACATCTGTTTTTTCCCCAACAATCTTCCATCATGTGCTGACCCAACCCAAAGCTGTTTATTTTAGAAGACATAGATTATAAACTTGATACAGAAAGTGTTCTAGCTGATAGCAACTGGGTTTGCTATTCTCTCCTTGTTCCCCTCACTCTGTTCATTTGTGCTGCACTCTCCCATGGTTTTTCTCTGCTTTTTGTGTGGGTATCTTACAGAATTATTCATTATGATACTGGATTACTGTAAAGACACTCAATAGGAATTCCCATTCCGTTACTTCTGGTGAGGATAAACAAACACTATTTGTCCTCAATCACTTCACCAGACAACTGAACACAAAATAGTTACTAAATTATGAGTGCTAAGAGTGAGCAAAAGAAGAAAGGAGAAGGAATATACTACTACTTGTGAAGCAATTGCTCTAACTATACATTTTCATTCACTTGCTGTTGCGGGCAAAAACAAATATCAGCTGTTTGGAAGGGTGTGCACACAAAAATGCTCAAACCTGCAAACAACAGAGTTGAGTCAGCAGTACAGAATACTGCTACTAATACTACTACTAATAATAAATGAGGCAACATTTCCTAAAGAGCTCTGCAAGCTTGCTGGGATTCTTTTAGCTGCCTTGCAAATCTGAGTAGTGTGCAGGCAGTTGCCACTAAGTGGTGTAGATGGGAGAAGTGCAGCAGCAACACACCATCTTTTCTTCCAGCATGAAGACTGGAAAATACCTAGAACCTGAGCTTCGGAGGCAGTAAACTAGACTTCCAGTGCCACCTCCTGGCTGTACCAGACACTGAACAAAATGTAATATGCTAAACAGCCTCCTTTGTATCCTATTCCAATTCAGGTCATGGGCCTGAATGAAGTTCACTAAGATCATCAAGTTTCAAGTCAGCCCTGGAAAATCTATGCAGAATGGATACGTAGACACTGCCTCGTGGATCATAAATAAGAAAAAGTTTGCTGACCTTATGCTGCTCTCTATGCGTGCATTTTAAAATATAAATGAAAACATTGGTATTCTTCCTATCCTTGCTTTTCATTCAAATGTGTTTTATTATAGTTTCTCACCTTGCAGAGGAAGAGCACTGACTCTAAAGACATCTCCAGTGTTATCCTCCCAAATATTTAGGAATGTCTGCCTTTTTATTGCTTTGTAAAAATTCTATCAGAATACAAAGATGAACTATACAGTTGTTTGTTCTGTTGCATGAGACTATAATATGGAAAAAGACTCTAGTTAATATTCCTCCTTTCCCTCCTAGTTTGCAATGTCTAGCAATATTTCCTTCTAATGGTGGTGCAGGGATGGAGATAGATATTGACTTTCATCTCTATACAGAATTCTGCCTTTACTGCTCCATAAACTGCTCCAAGAGAATAATAATAATATGATGATGTCATGATTTATAAACACAATATAGTTTTTTTACATTTGGTATTTTTACAGTTTCAAAAAGTATTTTCTTTCAGAGATTCCTTTTACCTGAACTTCTACTCAGTAGAAAGACTCAAGGAGATTATCAGCCTAAGAACATACAGCCACTGGTTACAAGAATCTGTAAGTAAAAAAAAAAAGGGGGGAGGAATATGAGTTTGGAGCTCTTGTTACTTCAGATCTTTCCTTTAAATTGTCACCCATCAGTATGGGGCACGTAACTTCTAAGCTACCTCAGTTAGTCAGGTCTTCCATCTGTAAAACATGAGAATTATGCTGTTCTACTGCATATCAAAAGATTTACAGCAGTCCATTCTTCCTCATTAGTTAAGGACATTTCTCCAAGTGAAAGTATAAACTTAGATAAAAGCAACAGTGACTGCATACTGAAACACACACAATCTCTGCTCTGCACGTGAGTAACATCAAATTCACCTGGTAGAAGCACATTCTTTACTTGGTTTACACGTGTGTGAAGAGGTACTGTATTTTTTAATGAGATTTGTTTCCATGATAGGAATTGCGCTGGCAGTTGCATTAAATGTATGTTAAATAGCCTGCTGAAAGCAGAACTAGCTTCCTTACATTTGTTTCTTTTAATTAATTTGTACAGGATGTTAATCTTGAATTAAGTTCTGGCTCATGCTATCTATAAGATCAGAATCATCCTTTCATGTAAGCTTTGCTCACCTCATTTTCTTCATAACTGTTAACCCTTTGATGACACATAGCTCACAAATTATGACAGATGACAGAGAAATAATAAGAGAAGGGCATCTTTGTTCTGTCACGCTTCTACAAAAATGCAGTAAGTTCTTTTCTTTCGTCTCAAGGCAGATGGAAATTGTTAACATTTTCAGCTGGACAGAAATTTGTATTTCTGGCCAGGTTTAATTTACGTACCTAGCATTTCATTGAAATTAAGTTACTTCCCACGTTAATAGAAAATAAATGATATTATATGCAACCCTAGTGACCTCCAAATGGAACTGAAACCTTTTAGGTCCCCAGAACAAACCTCTGTACTGTGTGTTAATAAGTAAGATGCAGTAGATGTCTGTTATCATCCTTATGGATCAATCACATAAGGGAGAAACCCACTGAGCAAACTTGAGTGATATAGAATACATACTTAATCACAAGATAATACAGATACTTGTCAGGAAAGCCTGACTGCTTCTATAATGGAGAGGAAAGTACAGACATAGGGTTGTATAATTCTGGTTATCCTTTCTCCCTTTTTCTCCCTTCCTACTGTTCTTTCCTTTCTGTAATGTCAAGCCCTAGAACAGTCTCCACTTTTGTCCTCTTTATCTGCTTTACCCGCTTGCTGGCCCTGCTCCCCACTCCTCACACAGCAGTGCTCTGCCCTGCTTGGCAGAAGCTGCCAGCTGTGGGTGGATGGAGCTGCACACAGTCCGGCAGATGAGCTGGCACTGAGATGCTGGAGGACTGGAGAAGGTTTGCTGCATATGTCACCACCAGGAATTTAGCTGCTAGATTCTAACTAGATCCTGCTGAGGGTGTCCAAATTAAAATTAGTCAGAGTGTATGACTCGCCCAGTTCATGTGTTCCTGGATACAGCAAAAGTAGCTTACTTGATACTGGAGATGTTGCTTCTTACAAAACCCGCAAGAAGTACAACTTCCAAATGAAAGTACCTTCTTGTTTATAAACATCATAAAAATCAAGATATTTGCCTGACTCCAATTTTCCTGAATTGCTGAATTTCAGATGAAATTTTCCAAAGTCTGGCTAACTTCAGCTACAGAGAAAGCAATCACTGACAGACAGAGTTATAAAACAATTTAGATACCTCTGCAATGTCTGCTTTCTCTCATAGCAGCACAGAGCCTAATCATATCTCACTGCAATAGTCCCTTTACTTTCAGTCCCATAGAATGATGCACACAAAAGGCATTGAACTTGTTCTTGTCTCCAACAGACATATCAGAGAAAAATGAACAAATGTAGCATGATATATACCTTACCAAAGGACATAATGTCTTGGCCTGGACACAGGCCTGAAACAGGGGGCCCCTACATACTGTTAGATAGCATAGGTCAGGCCTGTGTCAGCTGATATTCTTCCTTATCTGAGACGCTGACACAAGCTACAGATCATTCCCTGTAGGCAGCCTGGACACAGCCACCTTGCTTTGGTAGCCACATGTCTTTAGCTGTGCCTTGCAAAAAGTTATTTTGCTTTATTTACTAGTAGAGAGAGATTCAAATGGGCTTATAACTACAGAAAAAAATGACTAAGTGATCACCCAAGGAGATGATAAGACTGCAGCTTACTTCTCCCTCCACTTATCATCAGAGAGAAAGGCCAGTGGTACTCAGGTCATTAAACTTCCCAAGTAAGGCAGTAAGATCACCTATATACCATACGAGTTCTTAAAATTGTAGCAAAATAATCCAAAGGTCATTTTTATACTCATAGGAAGAGACCATAAAGATAGCATATCAAGCACATTACAGCAGATGAAGCTGAGGATCACTACCCAGATGATTCAATAAATATGATTAGCATCTGCTCTTTTTCCCATTTTGTTCATATTATGATATCTTGGCAAAATGCTAAGAACAATTTATAAGGAAAAGGTTATGGATGCTGGCAGACAGGCAGACAGGATCACAAGAGCTTGAACTTGAGGAACAGTACCTGCCAGATTCAAATAAAAAACCTTTCAGAGCAAGGGAGCAAGTGGGGAAAGATTAAAAAGAATAGACTAGCCTGGACAAGTTAAGACTCCAGAGGTAAGATTGACAGCAGATGTTTTAGATGTCAATTGCGTGCAAACATCATAATGTGAGCAATAGTTAGAAAAAGGAGCCTTCTATAATGACCTGAGGGAAAAGCAGACAGAGCATCAAGGAACATCTTTACAAATAGATAATCCTCACAGAAAAGGAAAAAAAAAAAAAAAAAGAAAGAAAAAAAAAAAAGAGAATTATTTACCCAGGGGGAGAAGTGAAGGAAAGACTTCAGTCAGGCCATCCGGTAATGAATTTAAACCAGGGAATTCAAGATTCAAGTACAGAGAGAAACTTTAAAGCTTGCTTTTGGAAAGCAAATATGGTTCAGACTGTCATAATTTCTACCTAAATCCAATGACATAGGTGGAACTAATGACTTGTGAGTCTATTAAGAGGAAGATACACCAACTTATCAATCACAGAAGAAAACTTAAAGCAGATAACAAAGGAGGAAAGAAAATGAGAACCACCTGGCTGGCACCACCAGTCACAAATAAGTCAGACCTACAAAACTTGGAAAACATGAGAAGTACTTAGAAAATACACCAAAAATTCTTCTGACAGATACTATACCCCCCTTCAATTAGGAGGAGAGCTCTGAAGACCTACTGCAGAAACCACAGAATTACTAAAAGTGGAAATAAAATGCAATAAAATAAATCGATTGAGAATGATAACGTTCTGAGAATTAAAACAAGTGTATTCCTGCCACTGGATCATTCAGTTTAAATTAGCTGAGGTGAGGCAAGACTGCAGCCAGATCCAAGACCTAATGCTGTGCTGAAATGCAAATCCCAATGAGCAATTATACAAAAGCTCTTACTAGGCAAGTTTTGGGGGAAACCTTAAAAATAGATTGTAAAGAATAGCCTGACCAGAAATGAAGCAGCAGTGTGTGGAATATCAATTGCTATGCCAGGGGGAAGAAATGAAAAGAATGTGCTAAGAATGTCAACTATGACCCTGCTGTGAGACACTGGCTCCCCAAAGTGTGCAGCAAGGGCAGCTATGCTGTGAGGTACCAGCACACACAGCAGAAGAAAAGAGCTAGGCATAGAGATGTGTGCTCCAGGCCTGGGAGGACACCCTCACCTGCCACAGAGGGCAGGTCACTTCCACAGCCTGTCTTGGAGGCTTGATCTCTCTCTCACAGCTGCACAACATACTATGAAAATCAAATGCAGCATTCTGCCTCACTGATTTTGCACAGGAATAAAGATTAACTCCTCTTTCCAGTCTTACTTAGCATGCTAACAGTTTGAATTAGGTGAAGTAGACTGTAGATCCCAGACACAGAGGAATTCTGTGGAGTTCTGCACATACAAAAGACTCAAACTCAAACCCACTCATAACTTGCTAGCAATCACAGCTTTCTATATTTGTTTGCTCAGGAGAAAAGAGGCAAGCATGCTGCTTTGTTAACACTGAAGCAACATGGCTTCTTGTAAGGAACAAGCAAGCTCAGATGTTCTTCTGCACCTTGAAACTGCCTAATTTTCACAATTCATGTGGATCAGTTTTTGGCCATGCAGTAGATTAGTACACTCAAGGACGTGCTGAAACGTGTGCCACTTGGCCATACCCCCAAAGAGACAGAAGAAGAGTCCTGAGAGCCTTTTCCTTCTGCCTGTGCTCAGTATTCCCAACGCACTGCCTGTCCCACGCCGAGCAAGGGTGCTTGGTAAGCTACCACCACCAGTGCTCATAGCAGCCAGAAGGACAGTATGTCAGTATCAGCACAGCTGCTTTCTGGATCAGATATTCACAAAACTAAGAGGGAAGAGGAATAAACTGTATAGTTTTGAAGATGGTGCCTCCAAACAGGGTGATATGACAATTCACTGAAAGGCTGCATGTAATTCTAGCCTGTTTTGTGTGCATTAGAGAAGCACTGAGTTTAAGTTTCAGCCATGTAACCCTTCTGCACTAGCACACTGGTAAGAAGATTGTGCGACCTTGTACTGCATTCAGAAGCTGGAACCAGGAAACATATTTGCTTTCTGCTGCATGTTTTGTTGATGGGAAGGACAGGAAAGAACCCTATTCTTCTCCAGCACCTCAGTTTTGCATTTGGGATGCAGGGGAAATAGCATTTGTGTTCCTTTCAAGAACATTTTTACTGTAATACAGTTAAGAGAGAACAAAAATGAGACACTGCTGCTGTAGTTAAATAGATGTCTACCTCCTTCCCAGTGCTAAGCTGCAGTGTAAAATACCCAGCTGTGTACTCTGTAACCTCATGGACTACCCTAGTACAAAATTAAGGACACAGCCTTAACTCTGCTCCCTTCCATGTGTGCATCACAGCACAGCTCTGATGACATGATTACATAGCACTTCTAAACTAATACAATATCAGGCAATTTTGCTTATACAGCCTTATTTATTACTTTTGAGTCTGTTGTCTCTATTTAATCCTTTCCTGCCTGGAAGAGCATCACTCCATCAGTGAATCAGCATCTCCAGAGAGGAAATGAAATGGAGCCACGTTCATAATATACAGCAAATAGCTGTCTTAACACTCAGTTAATGTTCCACAGTGGATTAAGAATTATTGTCCTAGTATTTCAGCTTAGTCCAGATTTAGTGCCCCAGTGGAAGAATTAAGGGGTAGATGAAACAGTGCATGTAAAGCTAGTTTCCAGAGCAACAGAGGAGCATGTTTCCTACCTCAGATACTAAGGCAGGTATGTAAGAATCAGATGTCACAAAGCCGTTCCCCTTCCTCAAAAGCTTGAATAAGAGGAGAAAAATATGTTTGGATACCACATGGGATTTGTAGTAGCACTGTAGGAAAGCAAAGATAAGCTTTTTTTAAAAAAAAAAAAAAATTCTAATCAGTTCAGTTATAGACAGAAATATGACTACTGCCTCCATAGTTCATGTGTTGTTATATATTGTCCAGATAGGTAGTTCATAGATTGGCTACAGAAGGCTTTACAGCAGCTGATGCACAAGTCCTAAACTTGATCCCCCTGAGAGGTGACGTCTCTGATGATTAATTTAAATTCAAGAAGGATTTTCTCTCAAGTCTGTGTTCCTAACCCAAGAACATTCTGTCAGCTCCTGACCACTGCAGCTCCCTTCTCCTCATGCAGGTCTCTGATGATGAAGTGTTGTTGAGCTTTGTATGTTCTACGGGACTTTGAGCTGTAAAGCCCAGAAAGAAATGCCCCCTTGGAACTTCAGACGATTCTCACTCTTCTGTAGCTTCAATTATCAGTTGTGCAACCATGAACTCACATAGCTGACTCACTGCTCCTAATCTATTTCCTCCAACTTAGCTTTTCTTTGGCAATATTACCACCCTCGCATCTCTTGCTGACTGAACACCAAACAAAATTAAATCCTGTTCTTTCTCCCTGACTGTGTCCTCTTATTTCTTCCCTTTATTTTGTTACAGCTAGGATTCTGCCATGTCCCCTTTCCTTCAGGTAAATAACTAGGCAGTTCTGATTGTCGTCTGTACTCTCTTTGCACTAAATATCTAAACACCAAAGATTCTCCTTTTGCAGTGTTTCTAGGACTCAGGGCTGATCATACTCTTTCCTACTTTCACTTTCTCTCCTGCCTAACATTATTTTCCCCTTTCTGGCCTCTCTGACACTGCAGTCAACACAAAGCACAGTTTCTAGATCAACATCATACCCTGCATTATGTTCAAGTAATTAATGACAATTACTTTTCGCTCCTCATCCTTGATTTCCAACTATGGAATTATTTCTACACCTCTGCATCCCACAGTCCCTTTATCAACTTCCTTATTTATTTCCGTCATTTACTTTGCATTTTATTCTCACAACATTACTGACTCTGAGCACCAACTCTGAGCTTTTCACTCTATCCTCTTCCTTTTTTCCAAGCTGCCATGGCAGAAATATGTATTTCCATTTTTTTATTTTTAATTTTTTCATTCTATAGATCAGTGGCTCTCCATCTGCCAATGGAATTTTCTCTGTTCCAGGAGCCATGTGCAATGACATACTTACCCTATCTTCTTTCAAGTCTCTTGTCAAAACCTCTAAGAAAGCAACAGACATCATAAACCCAGAATAACCAAAATACACTGTACCAGTGTATTGGACTTGCTGTGACAACTACAAATGCACATTTCTTTGTCGTGCTGCTAGAAAAAAACTACTCAGTAAAGTGATACAGTAATTGGTGTTAGTGAGCATATCATGATATATGGAAACTGAGAAAGGACTCACTAAGTTTTAAATTCACTGTGAAAACACTTCCTCTTCACTGAACTACACAGTTGAACCACCACTACTATCTCCCCAGTTCTGGGAGAAACAGTCAGTGCTGCTGGATATAATTTTACCTGACACAATGTGTTTGTTTCTTATCTACTTCTACAGGTTATCTGTTTACTAACTGTACCAATTATGTTTTATTTGTTACTCCATGCAAACTGACACCAGGTATCAATCTCAACCATTCAGGGACTGTTAGCCTGCCTCATTCTAATCTGTCCTACAGAAAGTTGAAGGAAATACAATTTATCTATTACACTAACATGCACTTTCTTCTTAAGGGTCCCTGGAGTGACCAAGGCTCATATTGTCTTCCTGTTATCACATCAGAGAGATTTCTTGTGGGTTCCTAATATCAGTTCCTAATACATGAAGGTGGCCATCTTTGAGCTAAGTTCTCTGTGTTGCTGCTCAGTGCCACTCATGTCATTTTGTCATGGACCTGACCTCAACCAGAAAGCAGGCTGGTAAATGTCTTTACAGAAAGTGATGTTAATGGTTAGACTTTGGGAGAGGAAAAGGAACAAAGTGCATGTGCAGATAGCTCAAGTCGATCACACATCATTTCTGCTCTTATTTTCCACACTAACTCATGCCTCTTGCCAGAAGACTTTGTTGTCTGAGAAAATGGAGGGACATGCTTTCCTCATGGGGAGGCAGATAATGCTGCTAGTGTAAAAGAATGAAGTGGACTCTTATGAGCTCCTTGGCCTGTGTTTTCTATCCTCTGTGATTCATCTAATTAAGGTACACAGCCTGTAAAACAGGAGGCAATTTGGAAATTCTACTCATTAGCTGGATGTGAATGAGATTTTTTTTTTCCCTCTTGCCTGTCTTCATTTTATCTATGGCAGTTCTACATGACTCAGACTCCAGAAGGGTTCACGATTGTGTGGGTTGCCTCTGGCAAAGGCAGTAGCTTGAAAGTAAGTGTCTGTCTGCTTGACTTCTCTCCGAAAACAAACACAGAAAAGCCTATTCCCTGTGAGGCTGACCCAGCTGCCATGTCTTGCCTGCTTGTTGGGATACAAGATGATTAATCTCCTCCTACATAGCTCAGTACTTAAACCATATGTGAAGGGGGCACAAGGGCTTTCGGATAAAGCAGGGGAAAAAAAAGACTTGTTTTGTTCTTAATGAAGAAATAATTTTCTTAAGAACAAAAAGCTCTTTGCAGCCAGTGCTTATAAATTGCTTAATTGGAAATACACATAACAGTCCTATGAGGATTATCTGAGTGCTTCTGGCTGAATTAGTCAGGAAAGAAAAGTTATTTTAGAGATACTAATAAAACAGGAGGTTGTGAAGACTTCCGAGATGTATACAGATGTTTTATTCTAGGCTTTGCATATAAAGCTGATTTTTAGCTTATTGGTTTAGAAGGTCTGCTGATTAGGTTGGAGACAGACAGAAGTAAAAATAAAGGGTTAGACCCTCAGATCAGAGGGCTATAGCTCCAGAAAGCTATAGTAATTTTTGTTAGCTATCAAGCAGTAAGGCTTGCTGCCACTGTCTAGGGAACTATTTGAGATTTAATCAAATGTGCCAGAAACACAAATAAATACATCTTTGGCAATACCTTTCCTTGCTCCTGATGGGTATCAGCCTCCTCAGCAGCACTTCCTGTCTTTCTACAAAGTTTCCACCAGAGTGGAAAAGTTTTCCTTCATATCCTGTCCCACCAGCCTCCTGTTCAGAGAGGGAGAAATGAGGTTCAACAAGGATAACTGGGAAGTACTGCACCCGAGTCGGAGCAATCCCAGATATGTATATGGACTAGGAGAAGAACTCATTAAGAGCAGCGCTACCAAGAAGGACTTAGGGGTCTTGATGGACAAAAAGCTGAACATAAGGCCAGCAGTGTGCTCTTGCAGTCTTGAAGGCCAATCATATCCTGGGTTGCGTCCAAAGAGGGGTGGCAGCAGGGAGAGGTGATTGTTCCCCTCTACTCTGCCCTCACAAGGCTCCAGCTGGAGTACTGTGTCCTGGCCTGGGGTCCCCAGTGCAGGCAGGATATGGAGCTGTTGGAGCGGGTCCAGAGGAGGCCATGATGTTCAGAGGGCTGGATGCTGAGAGAGTTGGGCTTGTTTAGCACAGAGAAGAGAAGACTCTGGGGAGACCATGCTGCAGCCTTCCAGTACTTGTGGGGAGCTTATAAACAGAAGGGAGACTAACTTTTTACATGGCCTGATACTGACAGGACAGAGGGGAACGGGTTTAAACTAAAAGAGGGCAGATTTTCATTAGATGTTAGGAGAAATTGTTTATCTCAGAGGTTGGTGAGGCCCTGGCACTGCTGCCCAGAGCTGTGGGTGCCCCATCCCCGAAAGTGCCCAAAGCCAGGCTGGATGGCAGCCTGAACTGAGGTTGGGACTGGGTGAACTCTGAGGTCCTTTCCAACCCAAGCCACTCTGATCCTAGGAGACGGTGACTCCAGCTGCAGCTCTGCTATTGAAGGCAAATTCTAAAAGCTGAGCTAACATTGTATCAGATATGAGAAGAATAAACACTTAGTATCCTTTAACCTGAGATATCCCAGAGGCGGCAGGCCTTTAGAGCATCAATGAGGATGCTTTGATGATGTTGCCAACTTGGCAAGCAAACTCAAGGTCACAGAATCATAGAATCATAGAACGGTTTGTGTTAGAAGAGACCTTTAAGATGATGTAGTTCCAACCCCCTGCTACAGGCAGGCGCAGCTTCCTCTAGACCAGGCTGCTCACAGCCCCATCCAGCCTGGCCACGAATGCCTCCAGGGTGGGCACATGCACAGCCTCACTGGGCAACCTGTGTTCATGCATCCTTAGCTAAACTACCTTCATTATAATACCAAAAATCACACTTATAGGTCAGTAAGACCCCTTCCCACGTGAAGACCCCTCCCCTGAGCAAGCATAGTATAGAAGTACAGAACAAGCATGGAAAAATTACTAACTCTGTAACTTTGGGGTTTGCTTATTTGCACTTCCTTCACCCCCTCCATCAGTGAGCCGCTGAGGGCCGGCGGGGCCGCGAGTCAATAACGGCTGCGGCGCGTGCCAACACGGCCGCGCGCCCCCTCAGCATCGCCAGCGGCCGCGGCCGCGCGCCCCCGCAGACAGGCTCGAGACGCCATCTTGTGGCCGCTCCGATGCCATCTTGCGCCGTGCCTTTGCCCTGCTTTCATTTTGCTTGGCGTGCAGTCAGCAAATAAATGACTGAATGGATGAATAAATAAATAGTCGTAATCATCAGTAGCATTTGCACAGATGTAAGGATGGCGGCGATTTTACTAACTGTGCTGCAGCTTTTGCAGCCAACGAGCAGGGAAAGAGGTTTTTACATTATGCCCATTGAGGGATAATGGAGCAATGGAGGCTCATGCCATGATGGGAGGGACCTTCTAAATCTAAAAACTGGTTCATGTATTCCAAAGAACAGAAAGCACAAATCTACTTACAGAATTTGGAAACTGTAAAATGATTTAGTAGGAAGGTCTCCTTGTCCTTCCTGACCCCAGTCTGTGTTGCTTACCTTGCCTTGAAGTTCATTAGAGTTCATCTGGACTTCTGAGTGCTGAGGAACAAGTCTTTAAATAGAAATTTAATTTAAGGAAAGCTTTTCCTATCGCTTCTCTTTTCCTTTCCTTAAATCTCAGTTTATGCATGGAATATAATTTTATCCCTGTCTGTCACCACGCAGGGCAGCTGTGCCATGCCTACTGGTACAGAAATAAGCCAAAGCCAATAGCTATCACTGACTGAAGCTCAGTTCTACCAACATGAGGAGTCTTAGAAAAAAGATTTGATTGAGCAATTGTCTATACTGGTGGGAAGTTTAGTATCTGAAAATACAGCATCACAGCAGAAAATATCATCTAAGACCTGTAAACTCAGAAAAAGAGTCTGCTTAGGCAACCACCTAAAACTTTCTGGGCAGTGGAGCAGTAATTTTTGTCCCATAGTTGCTCATTTTCTGCTTCAGTGAAAGCCTCAAAATCAGCAGATTTTCTAAAATTTTATCTAGATTTTCCCTTCAATCTTACCATGACAGCAGAGGGACCATTGTAACAACATCGATCGAGAGCCTATAAGTACTTCTTTCACAAAGAGAGTCTAATTATGTTGAGTATAATGTAAACAAAACATGATGGTGTTCTTCATCCAGACAGTTTTGATATGAAGTAGGAAAGGTTGTCCAACTTTTGTTTGTCCCAGTAGCAGAGACAGACCTATCTAGAATAAGGATTTCAGGTCTTTGTATGTACTGCTACGTTTTTTAAACCTAAAATCCAGGTTTTCAAATCTTCAGTGGAAAGACCAGCTAGCCTGGTGTAATACCATGGTGAGGTATTCATCTGCTCCATTGGCTTCCATTCTATCCAGAGTGGCACTTCTACTCTTGGGGAGACACTTCTGGAAACACAACTTTGCAGAAATCATAGAAATCTTCTCATGCATAATGCTTTTTAATTCTCACTCTGTCAGAACGGATTTTACTGCAGAATATTCCTTCATAAAAATGGAATTGTTTCTAAGTGGGTAGAGTATAAAAAAGAGATACAGTGAATGTAATGTGTGTGGATTTTCAAAAAGCTTTTGGCAAGGTTGTGTTGATAAATAATGAAGCTGTCGCAGGATCACAGGAATTCTTTCATGGGGTAAAAGCTGGCTACAGCAGAGTATGGGACTAAGTGGTCTGCATGGAGAAGAGCCAGCAGTGGGGTCCTGTAGAAGTAAGTGTTGGAACTTGTACTGTTTAGTATGTGACCAAAGCTGGAGAAAGAAGTGAACAGAAAGAAAAATGTTAAAACACCAAAATTATTCTATTATTTAAAAAGTATTTTGATAGGTCTGGATCAGTTTTCTTCTCTGTAAAACATAGCTCATGCCAATTCTGATATTTTGAATTTATATTTTGAATCAGAATTGAACCAATATTGGCATTTTTGGTGGAATAGAAACAGTCAGCTCTAGTGTTTATTTCCTTCTCTAGTGCTTGTCAGCCTTTTCTATTTCAGAAGACTTGACTGTTACCATATTACCAAATCTGCTAAATTTGCACAAAAGAACATCTTCAACAACTTAAGTTAGAAGAAACTGCGGAAAGGAGGTATACCACCTACCTGGTTGCTCCTTCACATTACCACAGCCCCTACCCCTCTCGTGGTCCTGGCCCTATCCCTGCCCTGGTGTGACAGCATTATGACACATCTTGCTCAGTCAGGGGAAGGGGTAAGGGGCAGGTAAGCAAGAGCAGCAAGATTTAACAGTGTCTTCATAAAAACATCTCTCCATATGAGACACGGACCATCTGACCGAACTCTAGGAGAAAGTGCCAAGTGGGTGGCTTCTGTGCTTTATTTGTTTATTTATGTTTTCCTTTTTCCTTTTTGTAGCTTGTATTGAAGTTTGGGATTCTCCGCACTATTTCCCTATTTCTGTTTCACTGTAGGAGATGCTTCCCAGAAGGAATCTTGCTGTACTGCCTCTCCCACTCCTTTTCTCTCTTTTATTCCTCCTAAATTTTCTTTTGTCAGTCTGACAAATCCAGGATAATCATGCCACCTTCTTACAGCTCTGCATGAGAATCTGCCCATCTGATCACGTGGGTGGGCATAGCCGATGTATGACTTTCTCTCTATATGTATTCATGAGATTCAGCGACAGCTTTCCCACTAGCAATAAATTTCTCTAGAGTAGAATATGAACACACTTTATGAGGGCTGGAACTGGAACTTAGTCTGGAATCTTACCATTGATTTTATAATACAGGCGGCCTTTTGGAGTCACCCCAAGAGAAACCTGGCTTCTTTTCTGTGCAGCTTCCCAAGTGCTAGAGACAACTGTGGGTGTCTAGGGAGCTGAATCCCTTGCAGGCTGCATGCAGTTGTCCCTATCATTCTCTGAGTGTAGTGGTGCAACAAAATGCAGCGTGTCTTTCCAGAAGGCCAGACAGCTGCTGGCTTGTATGGGATGCATCACACTTCTCTGCGTGGGGTAACTCACCCAGGGAGGTTATCTGGGTTGTGGGCAGGACTTCTGTCACTGCATCATGTGATTCTGAAAATGCTTCCCCAGCACAAGGGAACGTACGCTTTATATTTCTCTTTAAATACCTGTCTTACTGCTTGCTGCTGTGTGGGCTACAACTAACGGCAGCTGTAAAAAGACTGATAGCTAGATGAGTCTGGCTCTGATGGATCTGTCAACCCAGCTCTCCATCAGCTGCAAGAGCCACTCACTACTGTTCTGGTGGTCAGCCTCAGCAGAGCTGCCAAGAGAAGTTGAATCAACTTCCCATTCTCAAAGATAGGGAAAGCTGAAACCAATAAGCCAGAAAGCTTGCATCTCTGGGGACTACATTCTTGAGCATGGAGTAGTTAAATTTCCAATGTGAATAGAAGAATATAGTTTTGGTCTTAAAGTGAAACAATTCCCTTCTCTGCATGAAACCAATGACTTATTATGCAAGAGCAGGCTGACGTACTAACTCCTGTGGTTAAACCATGTACATACCAGTGGAGGAGATCTGTGGGTACAGTTGACTGGTGGTAGAGTACATGTCCTGTTAGGATGTCATCTGCAATATTTTGGGTAGCTTATTTTGGCAAGGCAGCAGAGGAGCTTGGCTGGACTCTTGTGCAAGGTGTACATCTGCCTGTGGACCCTCAGCAGTGACCTGCTCCTACAGGACAAATTGGAGTTGGCACTGGAAACCTCACTCTTTGCTTACAGCATTAGAAACCTTAGGAAGGGAAGGGGCTTACCAGCACTGCTGTAATCCTCTAAATAGCTTTATCTTAAGCTGCTGTGAGCTGAGCTCAAGCCTAAAGGATAAAAATCTCTAAGAGCAATTACGACTCGCTCCTAATGAGCCTCTTCTGATTCAGCTCCACCTTGCAGCAGGTCTGTGGAATGTAGATTCACTTCATCACTTGGGCAATCCTCTATCAGCACAGCTAGATATTGCAAGCCTGGAAAATATTATGTCCTTCTGATCACATTTTTGGAGGTTGTGGCTCAGCAGTTACATTGCAGTCATCAAACACCAAAATGAAACAAAGCAAAAGCAGCTCATGGTACTTTTGACCAACTGTCTAATAGAAGACACATCAAGTTTATACTGCAAGTTTATTACAGTAATACAATCAAATTAAATAATTTTTACAGCTATTATATTGGGGTATATGTGTATATATATATATATATTATTCCCAGCACACATTGCAGTCTATTTCTCTTTAATCATGCAGTGAGTAATGTATATACAATTACATGAAAGATTTTTTTCCCTAAAAAAGAGAAACCAAAATTACAAAAGTATGGCTTTGTAAGAAAGTTGTATCATATAATGAACATTCATTTGTACTTGGGCATGGAACATTCAGTCGTAATCAGTAAACAACAGCGTCAGTCCCTGTCACGCTAAAGCCAAAAAAAGCCAAGGGAACAAGGAATAGGAAAGTGCCCATCAGTGTTAGAGAATGTCTATATCTGTATACATTCAAAGAATGAAAAATGTAAAAAAAATGTTTTGGGGGATTAAGTATTACTTTTATTTGTAAGCTGAAGTCAGAGTTAATGGAGTCTTGAAGAATGGGTGCACAGATTCTGTTTTCTTTTATACCGGCAAACATCAGCAGTGGTGCAATTGACTTAAAAAGTGTTACTTCGGGTGTAAAGAGATGCAACTGAGGTCAGATTCTGGCCTGTCCTCCCTGCTAATGGTGCTGCAGAAACAGAAGCATAGGATTAAGAAGTCATAGGTGGCCGAATTCTGCTGTCAGCCCAAAGAAAAGATGGAGATACACATTTAATATATTTCATTTTAAAAAGCAATTCAATAAAATGTGTCCACCGTCACAAATCCTTCACTGGATGACTGTTGGCATGCAGAAGCCCTCGTGCTTGGTGCTTAGGGATAAAATACCTGTTTCAAAAGCACAGCTGCTGCCTCTTTGCCAGAGAAGAAATATCCTTACCTCTTAGCAACACGATGCTTAGGATGCAAACTTATTTCATTAGAAGGCTGC